CGTGCAAATAAAAGTTTAAATCTTGAGCATGTGGATGATGTAGATACAGTTTTTGAAAATCTGTTGTGTATTTGGGAATAAAATTCTTAGAGAATAAAATAAATTCGTAGCTTACTAGAAACGATCTCATCGTGAGACCGGAAATCGAGCTCACCATGATCGCATATTTGTTTCTCGACTTATCTAATCATCGAGAGTACTCGTAATGCGGTGTGTCCGGTGGTCCAGGGAAGCTTTAGTGCCTGGCCTGGACAGATTGTTTTAGGGTGTACAGGGGTGTGTGTGCAATCAAATGCCTACCTCTTCCGCTGTGGCCAGCATCCGGCAGCGAATCTACCTCGATAATCGTCCGCTAACTTTATACAGGGGTCGGAAAGCCTCGGACACGTCCACAGTGTGATTTGTTTCAGGTAGGTGTGAAACTACTGTACTGGTGAGTGACAAGCGTTCCAGTGTTCAGCCAAGCAGGGTGGTATTCACGAATCCGTTCGGACAATCGCCTGACCGTGCGGCCTATGTACAGCCATTCCACAAGAACAAGTCAATGAGTATACACAGAATGAGACCGCAGAACCTGGAACTTTTTCATCCAGTCGCAAACACTATTGGCTTGGACGTGAATAACACAAGAAGCCTGGATGCATAGAAAGTCTTACCGATCGCGTCAGATAGTTTGCTTTGTATGATCTCAGCTGATGTGTCCCCTTTGCACAGATTTTTTCTTAACCTCAGTGTTTTGTACAGTTTTCCGTGCACTGAATCATCTTGTTGACAACGCGCTCCGAATAGCCTTTCTTATCTTAGCTTGTCCTGACTGCAGCTCTTTCTTGCCCTATCCGCTAGGCAACGAACCAAGTTCCTTTTTATCTTAAGTGGCAAAACGTTTCGGAAATGAATGTGTTGGTCTTTCCAAGTTGCATTTCTATGCATGGAACGCTGCACCAAACCATCTGATCGATGGGTGTTGCAAACATATAGAAATGACAAAATTTGGTTGCATTCCATTTCCAAAGCAAATGATATGTTAGGATGCGCAGAGCTGAACCTGTCCAATAGTTCCGTTGCGTTCGACGTTTTATTGATCACACCATAGATGTCATCTACGTACCATGTGTATAGTACACAATCTTCCATGAATGACTGTAATTGAGCGTTTTCAAGTTTCGCCATGAATAAATCCGCGAAATGCGGTCCCAGATGAGACCCCATGGCCACACCATCCTTTTGTGGATTTATCTCATCGTTAAACTTGAACTGAACAGTATACGTGCAGAAGTAAAGCAGTTGTTTTAGGTCATCCAAAGCGAGGCCGAGTTTACCATTATTATTTTGTACATAACTGCACAGGTATTCCATCGTTTCACTGATGGGAACATTGGTGAACAACGAGGTGACGTCCAGCGAGAGCGTTGTTCGATCGATCAAGTTTATGTCACGAAGTTCGTTCACAAAAGTAAATGTATCTTTCACACTAAACCAAACTAATTCGAACGGGTTCTAACAATTTGGCCAACAACTTTGCTTGGGCATGATATGGCGATTTGCACATATCCAAATTCGGTACTCCATCTTTGTGTACTTTTGGCAATCCATACNCTCGGAATAACAGTCCCGGTCGGCCTAATACGTTCGAAAATGGATGCATCAATGACTTCCCACTGTTTTAAGCATCACTTTATTGAAAACATCCAGTGGAAGAATCAATATCTCAAGATAATTGCCTGTTGTTTTTCTGCGAAAACTGACCAGCATTTGTTACGCCTCATTTAGCTAACCATAATTTTGTAGCTCGTCACGTTTCTTGAACTAGAGACTGGACGAAAACCGACGTTTCACGCCTGTGACTAACCTCTAAAACACCAGAAATCAAATAAATGAAGACGTATCCTCATTGAAAATAACAGTTTGGTAGGTTGAACAAATTCTTACTATTCGGTTACTCACGAGATTCTTCAACTGGGGTGGATATATTCAATTGCTGCGCTAGCTGGCACTCAGACTGGAGTCAAAAGAAAGAAACTTCGGGAAAAATGGCACGAGTAAAAGAATCGGCGTTTCAATGTGTTTATCTGACCAACACAATCCCGCGTTTTTCAATCAGGCTGGGATTACGCGTTCAAGCGAGCCACTCGGAAACTCGGATTCCGTGAAAGAATAACTAAACCATTGTGGTATTGGACATGCGTATCGCAGTTTTGTTATGCTAACAAGATACTACTTTCAGTTAAGTTTATTTTGCGGAACAGAAAAATGAAACAACTTCCTGAGATTGAACAAGTCTTTGCATTTACCGCTTACCTCATCTTCTTGTAGTTCAATATAGTGGTTTGCGATCATGTCTACTGCACAAAGTTATCCAATATTATCAGTGTTTCTATCTGCTTCAGTACTGATTTTTCTATTGAATGCGGAGCAGATGAAAACGCTTGGGAGCTCATGTTTTGGAAATCAAATCAAATGGTTGATGAAGATAAACAATCATATGAACACTGGAACATGCTTTACCCTCGGTTATAATTGTTTGAATGTTAATATCTTTTCTTTCTTCATTTGTGACATGGTTCCGCCACCGGTCATTGTGAAAACTGCAATAATGATAGGTGGACGCATCTTGCGCGGTTTTTACTGGGCACGGGGAACCTCACCTTACAGCAAATAACGAACCATAGACAAACATTTCACAGATCTTGAGAAATAACTACAAAGCCCAGAAAAAATGCAAGGGTTGTCATATTTCATTCTTGTTCGGAATCACTCCCAAATTTGGTCGCACTACATTTGGACATAGTCGTCAAAAAATTCCAATAACTAATGAGGTTTCGATGCTCAGTTTTTATGTATTTCCCAATGAAAATCACCCAAGGATTTTGCTTCACCAAAATGCGCTGTATGAAAGTTTTGTAAATGAAGCTAAATCTAAAAATTCTGGTTGTCCTCACTATTTGGGCCACGGCGTCCTTCATCACCCAGGACCCGAAACCACACCTTCATGAAACACTAGATAGAACGAAACAGTCTCCGCTCGGTGCGAATGAGGCAATTCGAACAGAACTTCACATGACGTAGATTGATATGAACAGATTGCGGTACGGGAAATTGGATCTCAAAGGGTTCAGGCTTTAGGTTCGAAGAATGAAAATTATTGCTCTCACCACGAGAAAACATTTCCAGTGATCAAACAAACAGACGAATATCTACAGGATCTACAGGATACTGGATATTTTTCAGAGCCGTCCACTAAAAACAAACGGAGAATCCTTTCGTCTTATCTATTTATTTTACTTTATTTCCTTTTCTATTAATTGGGTACACAATTGTACAATAAATTTTCGGGAAGGGTGCCGCGGCTTTACGAAGACTGTCCGGAGGGATGGAGGGTAGCAAAGTGTGAAAGATTGTCGGTGGTGGTGTGATTTAAACAGAGAACCACAAGGTCACCGATTTTGATGATCTTTATCACTTGACCACCGGCGTTTATTGTTCAATGAAAAGAGAACTCTGATGGGTTGATTGACCAAGTACATTCTACGATATTTGGAAGGGCAAGAGTGAGTTTACGTTAGCACATGCCTATAGTTTAGCAAACAGAAAGTATATCTGATCAAAGCAGGGATCGTAAGTGATACAGGGCTCACAATGGGAAAATAAACCGGGGCATTTTATCTTTGTTCGAACAAAAGCATGAAAATGGTAAGTTACCTGCGGTTGGTGTGCAATTCTTTTCCCATTGAAGACACTGCCCTGAAAGATAGAACATTGTCACCACTGTTTGATGATGTGTTATAACTTTGACGTTACCCTCGACTGTGACTAACTGGGAAGGTTACTTTCCCTGAAGAGGAAACTTTGCTGATTCTTTACCCGGGTGTAGCAAACATGTTTTCCAAGTGGTGTGGTCTATAAGTGAACCTGTCCTGAGACCCGCAACATCAATGTCCGGTGAAGTTGGCTCATATCTGTGCTTTAATGATCACGTCCAACCTACAAGGGGCCATCAAGGAAACTTTTGGATAGAAAAGAATAAAACTTTTGGTTAAAGAACAGCCACAAGTCACATGAAACCACCAAACTCAGCTTAATTGTTTACCATAGTTTGGCGTGTATTGTCTGCAAAGCTTAACTTATATATATATATATATATATATATATATATATATATATATATATATATATATATATATTACAGTCAACACCAATCTTTACAGATACGGCGCCAAAAATAACCATGGGTGAACGAAAACAAATACAGGTAAGAAAACAAGTAATATCTGATGTTTTTTAAACTTTTTATTGAATACACAATGATACAATTTTTAGGAAGGGGGAAGTGGCCAATCAAAGGGCTGCCATGGGGAAAGTCAAGCGGTGGTAGTGGAGTTCGAACACACATCCCCCGAGATGGTA